ACTTTGGAGAGTTAATTTTTCAACTTCTTGCTTCAGCGAAGGTAAACATAAGGAATATCGAGAAGATTCGTGCTAGAATCATAGACCTAAAGTTTCTGTTATATACATACTTTCTTATACAACAATCAGATCACAAAGATATCACAATGATGTGATATATCAATAAAAACCATTCTAAGTCAATGAAGTCACTCGAACAAATGTTCTGGTGAATCCCAGAAATCTGCCTAACGAACTCAGCCATGATGGTTCAGAAGCCGGCCAACCCAGAACTCTGCTGAATTGACTGGGATGTTCTGAAGGCCTGGGTGGTTACAGTCATCCCAGCCACACACAGTCCTGCGGTATTGGTGTTCTGGGTTGGTCGGTTTTTGTACCTACATAACCGAGTCGGTTAGGGCAGTTGTCTGTGATTCATCAGAACGGGAGTTCGAGTCACTCCGGTGCCTGAAAATTATTTTCGTATATACACACATGTACACATACTGGATGGGGTATCAAGAGTTGCCCGGGTCGACCCTGAAAGGTTCTGCCATTTAAAAGCTGAGCGGCACAAGAACGGAAATATGCTATCAGAACTTGAATTTTGCATATCAGTATCTGAATTCTGAGACATAATAAAAAGACAACGAAGTTCTTTGAATACGGTGGAAATCATTTGATATCATCAGGGAAGTGGGTTAACTTACTATTTTCTCATCTTTCACCAGAGACCCTCCCAGATAAAATAATATAAATAACAATAATGATGACGACACTACTTACTGCTGCTGTCGTCAATGAATGCACACTGGAGTGCGAACAATGGAGTGCACACTGGAGAGTCTCCCTGCATTCGTCTTACATATGGAAGAGGGGGCTCAACGTCACCTTATCTAGGAAATCGGCTTAATTCCGGCTTATTTGTCATGAGTACACACACCGCTGAGCCACCGAGACTTACCCACTCTCTCCTTAGTTGAGAAGAACTCCTTCCTGTTACCCTTTATGAGTATTATATCTGCTGTCGATCTATTTGCAACTGTTTCTCTCCCTTTCAATAAATTCCTCACCCAGGACAAATGCAAAAGCAAGTTGTCTACATACAATCATTTATTAATAAAAATACAAAGAATAATGAAACAATAGCATGTTATCATCAGGTCCCATAAACTAACACTACTCATTTATAATACCAATGTTCCAACAAATACAGTACACGAGGATGCTGCTTCAACTACTCGTCAGCAACCTTTTGCCACCTCTCACAGTCTGGGAAAGCAACTACCATATATTTATCTCAGACGAAAAATATTAACTCTCTCACCTTGTACTTCGTCAGTCATAACATGAATTCCTGCACTCCGTCAAACAACACTGACGTCCATATAATTCCCTATATAACGTCCTGAGGCCCACCTCTAAGACCATCCGTCTATGGGTTTTCAAATCAGGTAGGTACTCCTGCAGTCTCTTGAGAGTTGCACCCTATCTCAAGAACGGCGAAGAAGGTTAGGTAGAGAAATAGAAACAATTGAACTCAAGCTACAAGAATCATACAAAACCCAGTAGAGGCAAAGAGAGCAAAAGGCCATCAGTGAAATAGAGAGAAATCCGAAATATTTTTTCTCCTATGCAAAATCAAGATCAAAAACCACATCTAGTATCGGGCCCCTGCGAAAGGGAGATGGAACTTTCACCGATGACAACAAAGAAATGAGCGAGCTACTGAGGAAGCAGTACGACTCTGTTTTCAGCGAGCCATTAAACGCACTAAAGATTGATAACCCAAATTAATTTTTCATGGATATGATACCAACATCAAATCATATATCAGACGTTGCCCTATCCCCACTAGATTTTGAAGAAGCCATAAACAGTATGCCTATGCACTCTGCACCAGGCCCGGATTCTTGGAACTCCATTTTCATCAAGAACTGTAAAAAACCACTATCGCAGGCCCTCCACATTCTGTGGAGACAAAGCCTAGATACTGGCGTTATCCCTGATATACTAAAAACAGCAGAGATAGCACCACTCCATAAAGGAGGAATTAAGGCAGAGGCAAAAAATTACAAACCGATAGCACTAACATCGCACATCATAAACAATTTTGAGAGAGTGCTAAGAAGTAAGATCACAAAATACATGGAATCACATCATCTCTATAACCCCGGACAACATGGTTTCAGAACAGGGTGCTCTTGCCTGTCGCAGTTGCTGGACCACTATGATATGGCATTAGATGCTATGGAAGACAAACAAAACGCTGATGTAATTTACACAGATTTCGCAAAAGCTTTTGATAAATGTGACCATGGTGTTATTGCACATAAAATGCGTTCAAAATGAATTACCGGAAAAATAGGCAGATGGATCTACAATTTCCTGACTAACAGAACCCAATGTGTAATAGTCAACAAAATAAAATCCAGCCCATCAACCGTGAAGAGCTCAGTCCCCCAGGGTACTGTGTTTGCTCCAGTACTTTTTCTCATCCCCATATCGGACATAGACAAGAACACAACCTATAGCACTGTATCATCCTTTGCAGATGACACTAGGATTTTCATGAGAGTTGACAACATAGAGGACACGGCAAACCTCCAATCAGATGTAGATCAGGTCTTTCTATGGGCTACAGAAAATAATATGGTGTAGGTTTAACGAGGATAAGTTCCAGCTCATGCGCTACGGAAAAAATTGAAAATATAAAAACGGAAACTACGTACAAAACTCAGTCAAATCATAACATAGAACGAAAAGGCAATGTAAAGGATCTGGGTGTACTCATGTCGGAAGACCTTACCTTTAAAGAACACAATAAAGTAGCCGTCACAACTGCAAGAAAAATGACAGGTTGGATAACAAGAACCTTTCACACTAGAGATGCTATACCGATGATGATACTTTTCAAAACGCTTGTGCTCTCTAGAGTGGAGTACTGCTGCACAATGACAGCCCCTTTCAAAGCTGGAGAAATTGCTGACCTGGAGAGCGTGCAGAGATCCTTTACTGCTAGAATCCACTCAGTAAAACATCTAAATTACTGGGACCGACTAAAGAGCCTAAATCTGTACTCCCTTGAGCGCAGGCGGGAGAGATACATAATAATTTACACGTGGAAAATAATTGAGGGGCTGGTCCCAAACCTGCACACAGAAATAACATCACATGAGACCAGAAGACATGGCAGGATGTGCAGAATACCCCCGTTGAAAAACAGAGGTGCAACAGGTACTCTGAGAGAGAACTCTATCAACATCAGAGGCCCGAGACTGTTCAACACGCTTCCACTACACATAAGGGGCATAACTGGCCGACCCCTCACAGTGTTCAAGAGAGAACTGGATAAGCACCTCCAAAGGATACCTGACCAACCAGGCTGTGACTCATACGTCAGGCTGCGAGCAGCCGCGTCTAACAGCCTGGTTGATCAGTCCAGCAACCAGGAGGCCTGGTCGACAACCGGGCTGCGGGGACACTAAGCCCCGGAAGCACCTCAAGGTAACCTCAAGGTAAGGTCTCTTCATTATGTGTTGCTGCTTGAAGGCCCACTTAATACACGTGAAGTTCCTCTACACGGCGTCACCAAAAATGTTTAGTTCCACTACACTTGAGGTTCCACTCTACCGTTGAAGTTACATTCCACCACTGATGTTCCACTACACATTTGGAGATCCACCGTATAACCCTATATTTGGAGACCCTTCTCCAAACACGAAGCTCACATGAAGCATATGAACTTCCCCATACACAAACCTGCAATTCCATTACCATACCATAATAACACGCTCTCCTATTAAAACATAAATAACTTATATGTATAAACATATTAAATTTTACCTTCTGATGTCCCACCTTGTGCACCTGTCCTATTGAGATGGGTACTCCCCCACACCAGACGAGTCCACACTGAAAACCTTCTTCCCTGGGTGCCAGAAATTCTCCCTCCTCAGTCAATCACTGACCTCAGACGAACTAGCATGTACCGCTCCCGCTTCCGTAATGTCAAGTCATGACAAACTCATTATATTTTCTTACTATTTTCATAAACTTTCTAACCTACATTCACAAACGTCCTCTACGATCGCTGGGAACACGATCAAACAATAACAAGCAATATATCATAGTAAAAAGAGTGCTTACCACAGAAGGCTCGATGAGATGATGCCTGTCTGTCGATGTCCCAAATATTGCGCTATACTATGTCGTCCACAAATCCTCTTGGACTGCCACTAAATGCTTCTTGCCGTCCCGAATAGAGCGCGAGAAGTCACATAACAGGTGCCACATAGGCACACCCGCTCAATTAATCTACCTAAAGGATTCTCTCACAGTAGAGACTACACAGGTACGACCACCCACTAGGCTTCAGGCCGCTCCTAATATCGCTATCACAATAATAGAGAAACGTCGTAAGTCGTCCCCACACGTTGAACTCAAAGCCTTCGCTCAAACTCTTCACCATTAGCCATAAGTTCCTTCTTCACAGGCGGTAACAACGTATGTCCGTCCTCGACGATTCTCTCAACTGAAGTGACTCTTTACGACCTCCGCCCCCATCACATCGGGTAACTTAGTGTTGACATCATATCTTATCTCGTTTCCATAAGATGCTTAGTTTAATTCCTTCCCCTGACCCCTACATCCAGTCAGGTGGAGAATAACTCTCACAAGGCAGACCTCTCTTTTTAGGCTACCTGGAGTTTATAACAATATCCGCCGATTTCACAGGTATTGCAATATGAACCATATACCCACCTACAGTCCGGTAACACCCTACAAGTTAGTCTGCAAAATTTAATTAAGTTAACCCCAAGTATTTGTACTCCAACCTTGGAGAGAAAAACAGAAATAAACAAGAATACTTATTCTAATTCATGGAAGTAGAAATTAATTTTTTAATTATTTATTTATATGTATATTTTTCATTTAATTATTTACTGATATATATATTTTTTAATTAATAATTTATTTGCATTATTTGTTCATGATTATTTGTTAATTATGCTTTTCAGGTGCGGTGTGTATTTACATGTTCCGTACAGCCCCCGGGGCGCCAAGGCACTGAAGGTGGCCTTCTGGACGCCCCACCAAGGCCTCGCTCTCACCTCCAGCCTCCCGCTCTTCCCTGACAAGTTCTCCAAGTAACTACACACCTTTCATTACTACTTGTAACTCTCTATGGCAGGTTTGATTTAGAATACAATACAACTCTATCTTCAGACAACACACAGCCCCTCTGTTTAAATCCTCTAACATGCTAAACATACACTGCACACATTCCCATGTGCTATCTACATGTACAAAACCTTTTTCCTAAATTCTAATCTTGATCTGAAACGTTACCTTGATAGGTGTAATAGAACCCATGAGCACCAAACTGGAAATAAATATATCTTTGATATCCCAGGAGTTTGCACAGACGAAATCTGTGCAAACACTCCGTGCAAATATGAAGACCCTATCTTTGGAACTCACTCCCTGATGAATTAAAAAATAATCCAACCCTTGCCCTATTCAAAAGTAAAACCAAAAAGTATGTAATTTTATCCTTATAGTTCCCGACTTTGTGTGGGGAACCGACTTGTGAGATTTATATTTATTTAATTTATATGAATTTATATAGTGTTTATATATACGTTAATTTATATATTTCGATAGCAATTTGTATGATGTTTAGCGGACTGTATTTCTGCAATATTCTCACAAATCGACTCCTTGCACATTAGGGGGGTTTATATTTAATTTATATATATACAGCCAATCAAACTACAGTATTAAACTACATATATTAGTAATGAAAATTGGGAGGTCTTATCTTATTGTATGGCAGGCCTGGTCCACCAGGTATAAACAAGGATGATGACACCAAATAATCCTCTTGGTTGAGGCTAGCATCAACACCCATGTACTGGTTTACTAAGATTAATTCTTGCTTCCTCTTCAATTGTTCCTGTCAAAGGGCACTTGCTGTAAAGCCGGAATCCTATATATATGACAGCTATATCAGAGGAAATATTGGTATATTATTTATAAGATAAGGACCAAGGAATAATTACCTGTGTTAAGTCGCTGTCACTCATGCTAACCAGTTCGCCCTATATCTACCTAACATAACTGGCCAGAAATGACTTGATAATAAACGGGTTTCGGTAATACACTTCCCTTATAGTAGACGTAGTTGCGTGTCGATAACAGAAGCACTTTACTCCTGTGACACAGCTGTCCAAGGGAGAATTATAGGAGCTAAACTCGCTCCAGCGACTCTGGTCTAGCAACAATGGCTGACTACCCCCACCACTGATGCCCTGGCTCTCTTGTCCAGATGTCAACAAGTGGTAGAAAGGTCACATTTACTCTATTTTGGTACTGATAATTAAGTTAATTCAAATGAGATGTTTTTATGATGTTAAAAGTCCAAAGACTGCTGTATTAAGAATAATTCCCAACAGAATAGCTGGTGAATTTATAGCGCTATGTGGCAATGATATCTCGTTTTCTATTGACGGAAAATTCCACTGCACCATGTCTTCTATGAGTGAATTTATGTATAGACAACAGCAGTAATATTATCTGCATATTGTATTTAATATTAGTAAATGGTGTCGGGTTTTCCGACAGCTTAAAACATAAAAAAGCTAAATTAATGCATTAAATTAAAAAGTAAATTGAATGAATTCGTTATATATATAACACACAATCGACATAAATGATTTTAACTTTTATTGTTCAAATGAAAATGAATCTGATAATATAAATAACTCTTTCCTATCCCTTCACCACCTTCCCAATCCTTCACCACCTTCCCTATCCTTCACCACGTTCCCAACCCTTCCCCACCTTCCCTACCCTTCACCACCTTCCCAACTCTTCACCACTTTCCCTAATCATCAATTCTTTCCCTTCAAACAATTTTTTCTACACATGAGACAAAATAGAATGTTACCATTATGTATGTTTAGTGAAATTAGTAAAAATGGATTTTATCGTTCAGCGTGAGTAAAATTCAGAATTATTTCCTTCTCTCGTGCAGAGGAGTCGACCCTGAGCTGTCTATGACCATCCCTGACTCACCACCAATAGAAGTCGACCCTGAGCTGTCTATGACCATCCCTGACTCACCACCAATAGGAGTCGACCCTGAGCTGTCTATGACCATCACCCCTGACTCACCACCAATAGGAGTCGACCCTGAGCTGTCTGTGACCATCCCTGACTCACCACCAATAGGAGTCGACCCTGAGCTGTCTGTGACCATCCCTGACTCACCACCAATAGGAGTCGACCCTGAGCTGTCTGTGACCATCCCTGACTCACCACCAATAGGAGTCGACCCTGAGCTGTCTGTGACCATCCCTGACTCACCACCAATAGGAGTCGACCCTGAGCTGTCTGTGACCATCCCTGACTCACCACCAATAGGAGTCGACCCTGAGCTGTCTATGACCATCCCTGACTCACCACCAATAGGAGTCGACCCTGAGCTGTCTATGACCATCCCTGACTCACCACCAATAGGAGTCGACCCTGAGCTGTCTATGACCATCCCTGACTCACCACCAATAGGAGTCGACCCTGAGCTGTCTGTGACCATCCCTGACTCACCACCAATAGGAGTCGACCCTGAGCTGTCTGTGACCATCCCTGACTCACCACCAATAGGAGTCGACCCTGAGCTGTCTATGACCATCCCTGACTCACCACCAATAGGAGTCGACCCTGAGCTGTCTATGACCATCCCTGACTCACCACCAATAGGAGTCGACCCTGAGCTGTCTATGACCATCCCTGACTCACCACCAATAGGAGTCGACCCTGAGCTGTCTATGACCATCCCTGACTCACCACCAATAGGAGTCGACCCTGAGCTGTCTATGACCATCCCTGACTCACCACCAATAGGAGTCGACCCTGAGCTGTCTATGACCATCCCTGACTCACCACCAATAGGAGTCGACCCTGAGCTGTCTATGACCATCCCTGACTCACCACCAATAGGAGTCGACCCTGAGCTGTCTATGACCATCCCTGACTCACCACCAATAGGAGTCGACCCTGAGCTGTCTATGACCATCCCTGACTCACCACCAATAGGAGTCGACCCTGAGCTGTCTATGACCATCCCTGACTCACCACCAATAGGAGTCGACCCTGAGCTGTCTATGACCATCCCTGACTCACCACCAATAGGAGTCGACCCTGAGCTGTCTATGACCATCCCTGACTCAATAGGAGTCCCTGAGCTGTCTATGACCATCCCTGACTCACCACCAATAGGAGTCGACCCTGAGCTGTCTATGACCATCCCTGACTCACCACCAATAGGAGTCGACCCTGAGCTGTCTGTGACCATCCCTGACTCACCACCAATAGGAGTCGACCCTGAGCTGTCTGTGACCATCCCTGACTCACCACCAATAGGAGTCGACCCTGAGCTGTCTATGACCATCCCTGACTCACCACCAATAGGAGTCGACCCCCAATAGGAGTGACCCTGACCATCCTGACTCACCACCAATAGGAGTCGACCCTGAGCTGTCTATGACCATCCCTGACTCACCACCAATAGGAGTCGACCCTGAGCTGTCTGTGACCATCCCTGAGTCGACCCTGAGCTGTCTGTGACCATCTGACTCCACCAATAGGAGTCGACCCTGAGCTGTCTGTGACCATCCCTGACTCACCACCAATAGGAGTCGACCCTGAGCTGTCTATGACCATCCCTGACTCACCACCAATAGGAGTCGACCCTGAGCTGTCTGTGACCATCCCTGACTCACCACCAATAGGAGTCGACCCTGAGCTGTCTGTGACCATCCCTGACTCACCACCAATAGGAGTCGACCCTGAGCTGTCTGTGACCATCCCTGACTCACCACCAATAGGAGTCGACCCTGAGCTGTCTGTGACCATCCCTGACTCACCACCAATAGGAGTCGACCCTGAGCTGTCTGTGACCATCCCTGACTCACCACTAATAGGAGTCGACCCTGAGCTGTCTGTGACCATCCCTGACTCACCACCAATAGGAGTCGACCCTGAGCTGTCTATGACCATCCCTGACTCACCACCCATGACCCTTCAAAGTGTGATAAGGGGTAGCATCAAGCCTCAGACCTTATCAAGCCTCAGACCTTATCAAGCCTCAGACCTTATCAAGCCTCAGACCTTCCACATCCAATAGTCTGACAAACTGATATTTTCTTTTAAATATTTACTAGGGTTAGGTACCTGACACCCCATCTTCCTTCTTTCTTCCCCTCTCTCACCTATCTTCTAATTCCTTCTATCATTCCTATTTCCTTATCCCCCCCCCCATTTCTTACCCTCTCCTCCTCTTCTACTCTATCTCCCTCCCTCTTCTTCTGCCTCTACAGCCGCCTATCCTGTCCACTCTTCTATTCCACCCTCTGTCCTCATTCTCTCTCAGATAATATAATACTGAATTCATGTTCATAATTTCTGAGTGCCGGCTGCGCCCGGGTCCATCTGTCCCGCCTCTCATTCTTCATCCTGTCTGTAAGTCTGTCTGTCCGTATATTGTCTGTCTGACTGTCTGTCTGTCTGTCTGTCTGTCTGTCTGTCTGTCTGTCTGTCTGTCTGTCTGTCTGTCTGTCTGTCTGTCTGTCTGTCTGTCTGTCTGTCTGTCTGTCTGTCTGTCTGTCTATCTGTCTTTCTGTCTTCTTTCTCTCATCCCATACACAAACAAATCCCCCTTCAAATCTGGATGAAGCTTGAGCGAGGTCCCAAGACCTCAACTTTGGCCTCAAGGTTGAGACGAGGCCTCAACTTTGGGCACAGAGACAAAAAGGGAGACAGACATTCTCTCTTCCAGTATACTAGGAGAGGTATCCGGCGGGTCCCGGGACAGTCTCTCTCTCCAACAACGCCTTCAATCTGCTCCTGTTCTTTTCCAATCTCCCTTCCCTCCCCCCTCCCCTTTTCCCACCCTATTCACCCCTCTATTCTCCCCCATTTATTTACCCCTTGTCCCCACGCCTACACCCTACCTTGAACACACATCTCTAGTTATATGGAAGTGGAACTCGGCTGCACCCGGGTCTATGCCCTCCTCTTTCCATCATTTCCTCCTCTTCCTCACTCTTCACGCCATCTACCTCTATCATCTTCCCCTACCAATATA